GGTAAGAAGGCAGAATGAGGACTAATTAGAAGTTGTAGAAAAGATTTCAACTGTTTTAGGAAGAATGTTTAATCAGACAGAGCTGTTCAAAATAGAGCAGGATAGTTTTGGGGGTAATGAGTTTCCTGCCACAGGGACGTCCATGCAGAAGCTGGTTGAACACGTGGCCAGCAGAAGGACCTAGACTGAGATCCTTTGCCATTAGACACCCTATGCATCTCCTGGGAGTTTTATGGTACCCCAAAGTGTGGGCCTGAGGGTGGGGGAGCCAGTGTTGAAGGGGTTGGTCAAATCTTACAAAAGTGCATCCCTCTCTCTCACTTCCACAAGCAACCCTAAGCCTTCCTGGCTTTAGGGCCCAAAGGGTGCTGCTCTGCAGTACGACTGGCTCAAAAGCATGTGAGGGTGAAAGGACAGCGATGCCTGCCCTCAGAGAGGCAGCATCACCATCCAGGTGAAGGGGAGACACGCAGAAGGTAGGCGTGAGCTCAGCATCTCCAGATGGCTTCAGCGTGGTACCCAGGATACTGGAAACGGGCAGGCATGTGTGTGTGTGTGTGTGTGTGTGAGTCTTCTGGGAGCTCACCCTTTGCCCCAGCCAGACTCCGCTGTCTGCTGGGCACTGCTGGCCGTGTTTGATCCTTTGACGTGTTTATGGGCAGCCACGTGCCCACGCAGGCGCACCAGGGCTCAGCCTGACGCGGGGCTTCGACCCAGGTGCTGCTGCTGCTGAAAGATCAGGAAGAACTGAGATGTGGATACAGACGGGCTCCATGAGGCCTGGGGGCGAGCCCCACACACTGCGTCGCGCCTCCACACCGCCAGAGCGGTCAGATGTCCACGCCTCACGGCAATAGCCTCAAAAAGCACGTTGGGATGGTCAGGGGCTGAATTCAATGGAAGTCTCAGCTTAACAAACAGTGCCTCGCCCTAGCTGGTGTGGCTCAGTGGGTAGAGCGTCAGCCTGCAGATGGAAAGGTCCCAGGTTCGATTCCGGTCAAGGGCACATGCCAGGGTTGTGGATCCCCAGTAGGGGGCGTGCAGGAGGCAGCCGATCAGTGATTCTCTCTCATCATGTTTCTATCTCTCTCCCTTCCTCTCTGAAATCAATACAAAAATATATTCTAAAAAATTTTCAAAGCAAGGAAAAATCGAGTGTGGGCAGGGTGAGTCCAAGAAGACCTCAGGAGAGAGGTCAGAGGTAAGAGAGAGGCAGGAGGGGAAAGAAAAGCATGTATGTAGGTGGCAGAGGAGGAAGGATACTAGGGGAAGGCCTGGAGTGGGAGCGTCAGGCCACCGTCCTTCAACATTGCACGTGTCCCCAGACGGCCCCTCACCAGCCACCCTGCCCTGCATTCCCCCGCCTTGACTCACACGTTGAAACTTTGGGCAAAAAAGTAATGAGTCATTATATTGCTCTCTCTTTTGCAAAAGAAAAAGTCTACTTTTTTGGTGGAAAGTAAGTCATTCAAGAGGTGGAGGTGGGAGAAGCCATATCCCTCAGGAAGAGGATGGAAATGTTTAAGCCCCTGACCCTGACCTCCTGCCTGCCTAGTCCTTTCCGCTGGCAGATGCGGGTCCACTTCTCAGGCCTGGGACCTCTGGAGAGACACTGGCTGGCCCAGGGGACTCGAAAGGGCTGGAAACAGGTTGCTTCTCAGCAATTTGCTTTTGAAGCTGGGGTCCGGGGACTGGGCGGCGGGAGGCTGGTCAAATCCCTGTGTGGGACGCGATGGCGGCTGGCTGAGCGGCTGGGAGACTGGTGACCAAACACACAGGGCTGGAACTGGGAAGCCAGAGGTCAGAGGCCACGGGAGGAGCAGGGTCACAGAACTGTGGTGCCTGACCCTCTCGAGGGCCTCTGACCGTGACCTTGGGCAAAGGCACTGCCTCCCTCCCCTCCCCACCCCTCCCCAGTGCCATCTCCTCCTTAGAAGGCCCGGGAAAACAGTCATTATCTGCTTCCGTTTCAGAAAGCCTTTAAATAATTAACATTCACGGGATGGCTTCCCAGTGCTCCGATAGGCTCCGCCGTGAAAATATTGTTATTGTTTTAAGATATAATACGTCTGCATCACTAGCTGTTGGCAACGGGTCTGTTACCTTATCCCGGGAGGGAGCCGTTGGCAAGCTGATTAATTACAACTCCATCTTTCAGGCTTTTTAATTTAGATGTTAATAAATTCAATCATTTTCTGCGTGTATTGTACCCGATGAGACCCTCTGGGAACAGCTTCTCATTGGCGACGGTGACCGGGGCCTGAAGGCTCCCGCTGTGTTAGGAATGCCTTCCATACGAAATGACGAAATGAGGAGCAGCAGGCCACGAACCCGGCCCTCTGGCCCGCCTCCCAAGGACCAGACCCACTTCCCGGCCCAAACACCATTATGAAGTTGAATTCACGTGCCCACTGCTGGTCTGATCTTCGGTTTAATTTCTTGGCCCAGCCATACTGACTTTTAACTGACTTTGCCTCGATCTTCACCCAAAGGGGAAAAGATGTTT